TCAGACTGGATGGGCTGTGAGCACTGATGGAGCTGTGGGTGTCCCCGTGCACTGCAGGGGCTTGGACTGCATGGCCTTTAAAGAGAACATGCCTTTGTGGTCTCTGTGCATTGGTCAGTTCTCCCCAGGGTGTCCCATCCCACAGCCGCAGCTCCTCCTTGCTCAAGGGGAGGAGCCGCTGCTGGGAAGCAAGAGAAAAAGGCTGGGAAAAGGGAAAAGTGCCAGCAGCACTGTGCTCATGAGAGTCCAGTTGTGATGAGCACCGGTGATGCTGCAGAATTCCCTGTGCTACACATGCTTTTTACCTCCTGGACTGTCACCCCCTGCGTCACACAGCCTTCCAACCACAGTGGCTTTGTCCCCTGCCCCTGTGCTGCTCTGTGGCCTTCACAAGGGGCTGCATGTGTGCCAAGGGCAGGCTGCTCATTTTGATGATTCACCAGAAAATGCATCCTCCCTGCTCCCTCCCTGTAGCCATCCCAGCTCCGCAGAGCTGTGAGTCACGCAGAGCAGCACAATTTTATTCCTGTCACTGCCACACAAGTTCAGAGTGATGCACACGGGAGTTGGTGGGCTGAGTAAAAAGGTGCCATTTTTACTTGGTTGATTTTCAAACAGAGGATGGACTTTTTCTCACAGTGTTTTTTACAACATCTCAGCAAATAAAACTCTGTGCTGAGAGGGTCAGGGTGCGTGGTGCATTGATGAGGAGGATGGACGCTGGGTATAAAACAGTCGCTGCATTTCTACATCTCCTTCTATCTCCTATGGAAACATGAACCTCAGTGCCAACATGTCTTTCTACAGAGGTCTCCACATGACACACAAGTCAGCAGGGAGCAGGAGGACTGTCAGTAGCAAGAAGAGACACCATGAAGGGACTGTTGGATGGAACTGACCCTTAATAAGACACAACCAGAGCTCCCAGGGGAACTGGAAGAAGTAAGCATTCACCATCTGGCTATCAGAATCAACTTTTTCCCCAGCAGGCCATGTCATGGCCAGAACAGGATCACACCTTGCTCTTTCCCAGCAACTTTTGGGAAGCTTTGCTCTCCTGTCCTGTCCATGTGGATCCACCACAGACATTTGCCTACTCAGACTTAGAAAACAAACAGTATGTTGCCTAAGTAAATCATCTATTTCCTCAGTCAGGAGGCTAATTTGTCCTAGGTAGAAGAAACTTTAAGGGTTGATTATCACAGAATTGTAGAATGGCTTGAGTTGGAAGGGAACTTCAAGATCATTGAGTTCCAACTCCCTGCCATGGTCTGGTTGTCCCCCCCAGCTCAGGCTGTCCAGGGCTCATCCATGGCTATGGGCACCTCCAGGGATAGGGCACGCACAGCTCTCTGGGCAGCAGTGCCAGAGCCTCACCACTCTCTGAGTAAAGAATTTCCTCTCAATATCTAACCAATTTTCCCTATTTTAGCTTAAAATTGCTCCCTCATATTCTATCATGCCAGTTCATGTAAAAAGTCAGTCTCCTTCATCTCGATGAGTTCCCTGTAAGTACTGGAAGGCTGCAGTGAGGTCTCCTCAGAGTTCCCTCAACCTTTCCTCACAGGAGAGGTGCTCCAGCCCTCTGAGCATCTTCATGGCCTCCTTTGGACTCACTCCAGCAGCTCTCTGTCTTTCTCGTGCTGGGGGCTCCGGAGCTGGATGCAGCACTCCAGGTGAGGCCCCGTGAGAGCAGAGCAGAGAGGGACAGTCACCTCCTTCCCCCTGCTGCCACCCCTCTGTTGATGCAGCCCAGGGTACTGCTGGCCTTCCAGGCTGCAAGCACACTGCTGGACTGTGTCAGCTTTTCCTCCACAGAACTCCCAAATCCTTTCCACGGGGCTGCTCTCAAGGTTTTCTTCTCCCAGTCTGTACTCATACCTGGGACTGTCTCAACCCAAGAGCAGCACCTTGCACTTGTTAAATCTCATTAGATTCTCATGTGCCTACTTACCAAGCCTGTCCAGGTCTCTCTGGATGGTGTCCCTTCATTTTTCTATCAAGACATCTGCACCAGTCAGTTTGGTGTCATCAGCAAACTTTGCTGAGGGCGTGCATGATCCCACAATCCAGTCACTGATAAAGACACTGAAGAGCATTGGTCCCAAGATTGACCCCAGGAAGATACCACCCCTCAGCAACCACCACATGGACAGAGAGCTGTTGGCCACAACAGCTGTAAAGCTTGCTCAGATACCAAGGTGTGATTTAGGCAGGCGTCAGTGGATGTCAGAAGCTATAACTGATGGCTTTGAGGTATGGAAGGCAGACAGTTCTTCTGGCTCTCCGGGCTGCCCCATGTTGCTTTTGTCCCTCAGCTGGCCTGTCCAGGCAAATATTTCATGGTGGGAGCAAAAAGACATCTGCTGAGAAAACCAGTTGCTTAAAGCTTCTTGAGTGGTTGCCACCCTTAACATCCAGAAGAACTCCAATGTCTTTTTCAGGTCAGGTGTGATCTGAAAGAGGGACAAGTCTATCTTTTAGACCCACTGAGAGATTTTCACACACTTTCAAGTTGGCTTAGGACATGCCAAAATCAGGACAAATCAATTGCTTATACTTTGGTGTGTATCATTTCTACATTTTGGGTTCTGCATGAATGAGGAACCTCATCGAAGTTCTGCATTCCACGAGGGCTGAAATCCAAGAGTGGACCATTGGAATAGGAAGAGGATACACCCAACCTTTGTTACTGAACCAGAGGGAAAAACAATGTCTTCTGCACTCACACCCGTCACACACAAAGAAGTGTTGATGGGATGGGATGGGTTCCCCTGCAGACTTCTGGTACATTTTACTAAGATCTGGACTATGGCCACTGTGTGACCAGGTCACCTGTTGTGTCATGGGGTTCTTGAGAAATCTCAAGGTTGGTGAATCCTCCACATCTGTGGTGACTTGTCCCAAGGCAGCAACATCTCTATGGAGGTTTTTTTTTCCCAATCAAGCACAACTTGGATATTCTCCTTTGCTTTACTTGCTACTGTCTTACTAGTCTGTCACCTCCCCAAGCCTATATTATGAAGTGACAGAAAGAGAGATGGTGACAAAGGCATCAGTCTGCATGTGTCCCCATCAGTGTGTGTACAGGAGAAAGATCACAGCAGGGTCTTACATGAACAATGGGAAGTTATCAGCAAAAACCAATACTGACAGCCTCACCCACCAGGCAGTCAAACACCATGCTATGACTGTAGGACTGAGATGTGCTCAAACATGGAACAAGAGAGGATCGAAAAGGCAGTGTTGAGTAGACTGCTTTTGGCAGGATGTGGCAGCCAGGCAGGGCCATTGAGTCCTGTCCAGTTTGCCCACAGCTGGCAAGAAGCTGTCAAAACCAAGGGCAGTTGTTAAGCAAGATCTTCACATGAACCATGGCTGGAAGAATTTTAAGGCTGCTGCTACTGGGGACAGAAGGTTCTGCAAATGGCACCACCCTGAACGCTTTAAGAGACAACTAACTCGTCTTTGAAGCTGAGATGCAAACTCCACTCCCTGGGACTGGCAATGACAAAAGTCCTTTATTCAGAACACAGAGAAGAGCGAGGTACGAAGATGCACTTACTGTCTGGGGCTGGGCATGCATGCACAGATTGAAGCAGCTACAGACGTGTCCATTTGCTTATAGCATCACACATCAAAATTCCCCCTCCTGCTGGGCCTTCTTGCCCATGGCAAAAGCTTGCAAGAAACTTCTTTGTGCTGGATAATCGAAGCCATGTGCTTGTAGTCATTATATGGAGATGGAGAGACTGAGAAAATGCACATGGTTGGTATTCACAAGGTTTACAGCATCATGGAATGCCTTGGGTTGGAGGGCACCTTAAAAAAGCCCAGCTTCATCCCCAAGAAGCTCAGGCTGCCCAGAGCCCATCCACAGCCTTGGACACCTCCAAGGATGGGGCACCACGGCTCTCTGAGCAGCAGTGCCACGGCTTCATCACCCTCTGAGTAAAGTATTTCCTCCCAACATCTAATCTAAATCTGCCTTCTTTTTATTTAAAACCTTTTCCCCTCCTCCAATCACTATTAGGCCATGCAAAAAGCCATCTCCCCCTGCTCATCAGCTCCCTTCCCTGCCTGTCCTGAGGTTGGCTCTCCAGCAATGTTCACAAGGAGCTCAGCAGCTCGTCCAGATCAGCTTTTCTGAGTTGAAAAATGGTTTGAATGTTTCCCTCTGCACTTGCTGCACTTACAAAGGCTTCCCAGAAAGTCCAGGAAAGACCCAGATTTCATTGTCTGTTTTTACATTAGCCTTCTTCAAAACTGTTCTAAACTTCATAGTTGACAAAAGCCAGTCTATTTAAATATGGTTTCTAAGAAAAATGCCTACTAGTAATTCTGCAGAAGATAGGAAATGTCAAACTGAGTTCACGGCAGCCTGTTGGAACAGGTTGCCCAAGGAGGCTGTGGATGCCCCATCCCTGCAGGCATTCAAGGCCAGGCTGGATGTGGCTCTGGGCAGCCTGGGCTGCTGGTTGGTGACCCTGCACATAGCAGGGGGTTGGAACCAGATAAGCACTGTGGTCCTTTTCAACCCAGGCCATTCTACGATTGTATGATTCCATGATCTTTCAATTGAAATAAATTCCTATAAAACATTTTTACCGGATTCCCTTCTTGTAGCTTCAGGTGCAAACTACTTGTCCCACAGATGTCCCTCAGATGAACAGAGATGAGGGCACAGAGCAGGATTTGCTGGCAAATGACATCAAGGGCAGTTCAGGAATTCTCTACACCCATGCTAAAATCCCACCTGTGGCTGAGGTAGGCTTCCTGCTCAGACATTAAGCACTGCAGCTTGTGCTAAAGTTGCATAGTATGGTTCTGCTGTGATGGAGAGGAGATGCCATTGACCGCAGTGGTGCTCAGCAGAGCGATGCTGTGCTCCAGAACAGCCACGGTGACAGCAGCTGCTGTCAGCCACACTGAGATCCCGGCCAGCTCTGATAAGTGATGGCGAGTCAGATACAGGAGGAGACATTCCTTTCTGTGCTGGGCAGCCAGACAAGCTTTATTTCACCTCAAGGCAAGAAGTTATTTCCCCAGTGCACAGGCCAGCGTGATTAACCCACAAGGTCTCATCAGTGGTGGATGAGAGAACAAGAGGCGGTGGCTCCAGGTGGGATATTCAGATCAGATGGGAGAAAAGATTTCTTCCCCGGGTGGTGGTGCACCCTGGGACAGCTCAGACACAGGGGATCCATCCCTGGGGATTTTCAAGTCCTGGCCAAATAAAACGGCATCTGACTGCTGATGCTTCTGCTTCCAGGCAGAAGGGCCTCCCAAGGGTCTGGCTGTCGTGCAGGCTGTGTCTCAGGTCTCAGCCTGGCTGCCACTGCTTCACTGAGCTCCGGTGTAGCTTCCCTCCTCTCCCACCTCAGCCCCAGCCCAGGCTCCGGGCTGGTTGGCTTCTGCTCTGCCTCCCAACGAGGACAAATGAGGTGAAATCCAGAGAAGAGCAACAGGAATGATTACGGGGGTGGAGGTAATGGCTGAGGAGGAAAGATTTTTAAATTTAAAGATGGATAGCCAGGCTACAAGCCTACATACGGAGACGTTATCATCAGTCATTAAGCAACATAATGCTTCAGAGCTGGGGCAGGCTCATGATTCAAGACAGCCTGTTCTGCAGGTGCTGGAACCCTCAGGAGCAGCACAAGGCTGGGCAAAAGGAGGCACTTCGTGTATGTGAGCACGACCACGTTTTTCCCTCAATACAATCGCTCTTAAGGTGAAATCCCGCTTGGCACCGGAGGGCTACTGGGGAGAGGGAACCTCAGGCTCAGCATCCCCATCCACGAGCTGGAATTGGCTTGGCATAGCAACCGTCAGGCCAGGGAGAGTGTCAGAGCACCGTTGCTCAGGACGCTGGAGTTAGGCCGGACAAAGCAGCAGTCAGCAGACAATGGAGAGCAATCCGTCACCGACGGCGCTGCCCGCACGGCTTTCCCAGCACAGACCCGCAGGAGAGACAGGCAGATTTGCCTAGGGCGATCCTCAGCTCCCTCCTTGTGGTAAGAGGTGGTGCGCCAAGCCCTCCTCACACCTTCACCCAGGGAAGGGCCGGCCTTGCTTAGCAATGTGTTTGCACAAAGTTTGCAAACCGCAAATGTCATGCGGCGAGACAGGGAGGCAGCGGGCGAGAGGAGAAAGGAGAGCAATTAATATGCAGCTGGTGCACGGGCTTGAGTGAAAGGAGCCGACGATGACCACCCGGAGCTGACGCTTAGAAACGTACAATAAAAGCTGAACGGATGGCTGAATGCGAGACCCAGCAAATCAAAACAGATGCAATAAGCTGAGGCCAGTGGAACCAGCAGCCAACAATGACAGCAGAGCCCACGGGCTGGGGGGCACGTGGTTGGCACAGAGAAGGGAGGGGGGCAGAAAGAAGCGCAGATGAGCGCTACCAAGGGAATCAAAAGCTCGCTGTTCTGAGAGCCAGAACAAATGGCAAGTGTGCTCCCGCCGCACATGGCATCAGCAGCAGGAGCTGCGTGGTCGCCCGCGTCCCTCCAGGAGCCTCTCAGAAGGGGCAGCTCTCAGGCATCCCGCCCCAGCCACCTGCCTCCCACCATGCAGGGTGCCCTCAGCCCACGCTGCTGCAGGGAGCTCACGTGCTGTCCTCTGGGCAGTGTCCTGCCTCCCACACTGCTCCAGCCTGCTGCCCAGAGTCCAAGCCCTTCCATCACCCACACCTCACCCAGCATGGCTGTGATGTTGGTCACCCGCAGCTGATCGGAGGCAGCAGCACCACTGTGTCAACCACCAGCCCGTGGCTCCCACATCAGCTCTGCTGTCCAGCGGTGACCCACGTGAGAGGAGAGCTGATCTTGTAGCTGAGGGCACGGCCACCCACCCAGCCTGGGGGACAGTGGTGGTGACGCATGTGGATCTGTGCAGGACACAGCTACACACTGGAAATAGTGAGCACTTGTGAGCACTCACATCCAACACGTGGGATACCTGGTAAGGGGCGTCAGAGCAGATTTGCAGGGGTGTAAAGCAGCGCTGGGCTCCTGCAGAGCTGTGCTGCCTACAGAAGTGAGCACGCAGCCCCCAGCTGCATGCATAGGGGTGCAGCGTCCTTGAGCTGTTGGCTTCCTTGCTGCACACAAAGGACAGCAAAGCAAAGGTGGGCATTACTGCATCTCCACATCTCCAGGAGCAGTGAACACTCCTTGAGCATCACAGGCCTTTTAAAGACAGGGGAAAAAAAAAAAAAACACCTGAAAACTCCCTTTTGACTCCTGGTATCTCATCCATTTGTTTGTGAACTCCCTTGTGAAAGACTTTAAAGAAATTTTTGCAAAGGCTGGGGTGTTTTTTTGAGATACCTCTTGGTGCTCCCAATACACAGCCCAATTTAGAGGAGTGTTGCTTCATCTCCCCAGCTCCTCACAGTTAACCTGCGGAGCAAGGCAGGCTCTGCAGTGCTGTAACAACCCATTAGACAGACAGTCAGTCACACCAGCTATCACTATAATGGTACGTACACCAGCAGGTCCCAACACCTGCCGAGGGGTCAGAGGATATGAAAGGGGTAAAAATAAAACACCCCACCCGATCTCTCCTCCAGCTGCCTCCCCTTTCTGGTGGAGGCTCAGAATCCCTTCCAGCCTCACTTTGGCTTCCCAGAGCCCTTTTCCGACAAGGCCAAGGAGAAGCCTTGAGGTGCTGGGTGGAGGGGAAGGCAGGAGTCTCTGTCTGCATCCCTGCCATAAACCTCCTTAAAGCCTGATGGCAGATGACTGATGACAGATGCTCTTGTGGAGATCCCACACAGAAATCCTATCCTGGGCCCTTGTTTTCTCACAGCAGTGTTCTGCTCCTCCTTGCACCTTCATTTTATCTGTGTCCTGCCCTTAGCACGATTGAGGTGCAGGGAGCAGCTCCAGAGCTAGCTCCTGCTTCCAGGGAAGATGCACTGTGTGGCCAATCCCTCAAAATCCAGTTGTAAACAGTTGTAACCCTTCCAGCTCAAAACCCTCTGAAGAGATGTGACCCAGAGGTGTAAGCTCTTCCCAGCAAGTCTCAAACCAACTCAGATACAAATATATCAAAGCAAGATTCTCACATACTCTCAAACCTCCCAAATATTCAGTCCTGCATTAAAATCAACCAGACCAGCAGGCTCTTAATGTCCCAAGCAGAAGGCTTTTCCAGTAGGAAGACCTCAGCCTTCTTCGTGCTCCTGGACGCCATGCAGGACCAGGACCAAAGTCTCTGCACTCTGCCACCCAAAGTGGTTTCTTCTGGCCGTAAGACTCATTTACCAAAGCATGCCAAGCCCATCCTGTGCCAGGAAAACCTCTGGTAAAGATTTAGCAACAAGATGTCCAGATCTGCTGTAACCACCACCATGGTGGATCTGCTGGAAAGGGCAGGTACGTATATAACAAGGAATGTGGTACAGACAGAAATACATGCAGACTTCAGTAAGTGATAAATCGGTCAAGAACCCCTTAGTGTTTAGAGACAACCACACTCTGTTCTAGTCAATCAATCTGTTGCTGAAAATATTATTAATGCCTGGCACATAGATTTATGATGAAGGCCAAGTGGATGCAAAATAAATGTTTGTTTGTGGGAATTTTTGATGACTGTGCTAAAATTGCATTCCTTTGTAAAAAGAAAGCTAAATACAATCATCACAGCTGTTTACTAGGTAATAGAAACTTCCTTACCTCTTTGTTGTCCACCTTAATGTGCAGAGCAGTGGGTTCCTCTACTGCTGCTTCTTTTGCCTGGAATGCATAGCAGGTGGACAGGGTTGATGGCACACCAGCCCTGCAGTGGGCTGTATGCCGCCATCTCATCGCTCCCACCACAATTAGAGACGTGGGCTTTGTGTTCAGACCCTACTGACACAAAGGCACTGTGCAGGACATCACCTCAGCAAGATCACCTGTGGGTCAAGGATGGACACGTGAGGAGAAGGTCGGTCCTATTCCAGAGCCTTTGTTAGGCTCAGGGGTTACAGAGCTCAGAGATTTAAGGCAGCGCATTTCACTGAGCACCTACAGAAGGTCAGTATGAAGGAGATGATAGCGACATGGGCATTTCTGACATTGCCCATAGGTCTGTGGGCTCACGATGTGGTGCTTTTCTTTTCAGCGGTGCAGTTCCCAACCTGTCCTCACCTCACCCTCACTGGGCCCCCTCCAGCTCCCATCGCCCTCAGGACGATGCCTGAGCAGCAGTTAAGCCCTGCTGTGGTCATTCCACCTCAGCAGTCAGCCCAGAGCTCTCCACAGCATAGAAAAGTCAAGCTAGGACTTGGGGTCCCTAGGGCTCCACGGCACCCCACGTCATGTCCAACAGTGGCATGGATGAAGCACAAAGTGAGCGAATGGCTCCACGTGAGGAGGAGCTCAGGACAGCTGCAAAAGGGGCCACTGGAACCTTTCTGCAGCACGTGGGTCTGCCGTGGGGCCACTGCTCCAGCGCCATGCACAGGCTGAGCTGCCCTGCCCCTCCAGCCCCAGTCCCAGCTCTGTACCCACCCAGCCACCTCTCTTCCCCACTGCAGTTGTTTTTGTTTTCTTTCCACAGCTTGTTTTCTCGGCCATCCATGTCTTTGCGCATCATATATCACGCCTATGTGTCCAGAGGAAAGAAAGATCCCCTCCAAGCCAGCAGCCCTGTAACGGATGGACCTTCCCGATTTGCAGCTAGCTGACAGCTTGTGAGAACAACAGCTTGAATTACTGAAAGAACTTTTCCCACTGAGTTAATCTGCAATGGATGTAGGTGACCTTCTAAAGGCATCTATTAATCAAAAAACCCGTGCCCATTCACTGCGCTAGGCTGAGCCCTTTGGGGGAAGGGGGGGTACTAATTTCCCTCTGAGATAAATCATAATTTGACAATAATAATCTGCCCTAATCACTCCGATTCTTCCCTTTAATTATTTGTACACACAGCTCTTCCTGCCTGGGAAACACAAAGGATGACATTAAACGTGGCCAGGGAGGGGTGGGCAGTGGGGCTGCAGGGCTGTCACCCAGCACTGCCTGCCGTGGGGCCGGCGTGGTGACAGCCAACAGTGACACCCCACGGTGACACCCCCAGGGTGACCCCCCCGCAGGGACACCCTCAGCCCTAAACCTGTGCCTGTGGACAGATACAGGCTGTGTGCCCCCGACACGCAGCGAGGGCAGCGATGGCAGCTGGGCTCCGAGCACAGCAGCATCACTGCAGAGATGTGCCCTGGTGCAGCCTGGGAGGCAGGTCTTACAGGATGTACACATCAGCCCCCCCAAAACAAGCAAAATCGGGGACAGCCCACACAAGCTTCCCTGGAGCAGCTGGGCTGACGTACAGTAATTCTCACAGCCCAGGTCAGTAGGATATCTTGCAAGCTATACCACGGACCTACAGCACCATATGCTGGCCTAGTTTAGCATCTACACAGCAGCGCAGCCAGCCTGGCTGCATCACTGCTCCCAAAGCAGAGCAGAGCAGAGCCGGCTGCCTGGCCCATGCCTGGGGACGTGCAGGGCTGCTGGTGCAGCTGGGAGAGGCGGCTCTGCCACCGTGTGCATGGGGACGGGCCAGCAGCATGCCAGGATGGGCTGTGGGTGGGAGTGGGGCACGCAGGGGGACAGGCTGGGCCCAGCCATGTGAAGCTGCTCTGTGGTTTCAGCAGTGCCCACGGCAGAAGGTGACCCTGAGCAGCTCTGAACGTGGCAGCACTAACACTGAGCTGTTTCTGCAAGCCAAGACCCTGAGACTCCTTCCCAAGGGAGATGGGCATGTGAAGAGCCAAAGACACAGGAAAAAGGGAAAACTTAATATAGCTGATGGGAGCTAATTGCATCACTGAGAAAAACGGGCATAATGCCGACACCTGGCACAGACCAAGGAGACACCTGGACCTCAGGCATGCTTCACTCTGGTCAGTGCAGGCAGGACTGGGCACAGTCTTTGAAAGAGGCACTTCGCACTGCAGTGGCATTTTCTGAGCCAGGAAAATGGCTTAGTGGTACTGTGTGATTCCTCTGGAGCAAGACTGGTGGCAGCCCTGGGTGGCTGGGGTAGCACATATACTCCTGCCTTGGTTCTGAGTGGGTTCCACCATGGGCACAAGAGATGAGTGGTTCCTACTGGAAGCTCAGAGTGCCCATGCATGGTAACACCACCCAAACCAGAAACTGCTGGGAGAAATCCACCCTTGTGCTAATCCAAGCAGCAGCTTAGATCCATCCTGCCCCTAGAATCTCCAGGAGCACAGCTGGAGTTGTGTTGGCCTATCCAGACTTTGGATGTCTGCACTGCCACCTCACCACATGCTTCAGCTGTTCTTGCTCTGCAAAGAAACGTGTCCCCCTGTTCTGGATGAGCCTCTCCTAGGTGCAGGATGTGCCAGGAGACAGAACAATTTAATGACCAGCAAGCAGAGAGCTGAACTTGCAGTCACACATCCCTGCCGTGTCCCTGTACCTGAGGATCAGACTGCTTACAAAGACATGGAACACAGTGGAGCATCTGGGGTGAAATGGAGAGAGCTCTTGCCCTGAAGTCTGTGGATGGAAGTCACCAAACAAAATGCAAGAGGTCAGCAAACACAACGCAGCCATCAGCACAGGCAGGGAGAACACATGGAGACAGTGCAATCTGTGGAGTCAGGAGAGGGAATTCTTTAAGGGCACTGATCACACACTATAAATACCTCCAACGTAATGACATAAATGAAGGCAGTTATTCCCCACCTCTGACGGTGGCAGGGGGAGAGGCAGTGACCTAGATCTGAGGAAGTTTGGGCAGCAGGAGCAGCTCGGCGTGGGATGTGCAGTCTGCCTGCATGTCCTTGACCACGGCCACGTCAGTGCTGGAAGGGCTGCAAAGTTCCCCTGGCGTGGAGGCGGCTGGTGAAGCTTCCTGGATGTGATAGCTCTGCCCACATGCTGAGCCCACTGCTTCCTGGGGCTGCAGGGAAACAATGAAGGGTGGCTGCCTGCCCCGCACAGGCAGGAATGAATGGAGATCGGCTTGGGGTTCGTGACAGCCACCCTGATGGGCGAGTGAAGAGGAGGGAGCTACAGGAAGCCATGGCTTTGGCTTGAAGGGAGGAACGAGGGACTGGAAATGCAACCTCCAGCAAGATCACAGAATCACAGACTGGTTGAGGCTGGAAAGGACCTCTGAGTCCATCTGCTCCAACCTCTGCTCAAGTGGGGACAGGTGTCCAGGGCCACGTCCAGGTGGCTTTTGACCATCTCCATGGATGAAGACCCATTGGCTTCTCTGATCTCTGTGCCAATGCTCTGTCACCTGCACAACACAGAAGCATTTCCTGATGGTCAGAGGGAACCTCCTGTGTTCCAGTTTATCCCCATTGCCTCCTGTCCTGGCACTGCACATGCTGAGAAGAGCCTGGCTCTGTTCTCTTTATACCCTGTCTGTAGGTAACTTTACGCAGGGATCCCCATCCCTGTGGTATGAGGTATAAAGGTATTTTCCTTGAGCCTTAAAGATGGAGGTTTCTTCTGAGCTATGCATAAATAAAAACTTCCTGCGTGCTGCTGGGATTTTTTTAATCTGTCTGTTGACGTGCATGTCTCTGCTAAAGAGTAACTGACCACACTGAGATTGTGCACCTGAGGATGCCTAAGAAAGTACTGTACCTCCGCTGCCCATCTTGGGATGGGTCAGTTCTGCTGCTCTGTCTGGAGATGAGGTCACACACTCTATGCAGTGTGACCTCACCCCTCACCAGCTTCCAGACCTGATCTGCTTCCACTCACCTTGCAGGCGTCAGATATTCTTGCATGTTGACAGACCCTTGGCAAACTGTTACACCCTGACTTGCACAGACCTACTTTTTTTCACCCAAGGTGGACAAACAGGAAATAAATGCCCCCATGGATCCTGGGGGTCTGTGTAGGTCAGGCTCACCTGGCTGTGAGCAGCACCAATTCCCTAGGAACATCCTGGCTGCTTTCAGCAAATAGGCTTGGCTTTAAACCACAGTCTGATAAGAGAAGATCCCAGGTGGAAAGCAAATATTGCCACCTGGACTCCTCAAATTCAGACCAGCTGGGGTGTTTGAGTATGGAGGGGACGCACTGCATTTGCTAGGAGATCTATTTTGTTCTCTGCAACCTTTTCCATCTCACTGCAGGTGGATTTGTCCTTACCTGCACCTCCCTTGGCAGGCTCTCTGAGTGCCTTATCACACCCAGCAGCCTTGGGAGACGTTTATGGGTCCCCCAGAACTGATTATGGGGTCAGAGTGCCACTGGGACAGCCATCAGCAGCTATCTGCCATCCTAGTCCTGGCAGAGGCAGTGCAGGAAGGGAAGCAATCTGGGAGACCAGTGGGTCAGCTTGGGTGGTTTTTGCAACCTCCCCAGCAAACTCATGGGAAACAGTGATCAGCTGTCCCATCCAGTGTGCAGAGCCATGCTCCCTCTTAGTGTGGGCAGGAGTGGCCAGTCTGACTGTTGGGCAAGAATAAGAAAAGTGAAATCTACATGCTAAGAATGTTCTGGCACTGGCAGCCCCAGGCCAGTTCCCCCACAGAGGTCCGTATCTCTCATAGCTTCTTAAATTCACAGCTTCTGGACACTGTGGTGGCACAGGGCTGTACCAGAGTGACAGGAAAACAACGGTCCCCGAGACCCTGGTCAGTTCTGTCCTGTACAGGCAGAGATGCAGTATCTGAGATAGAATCATAGAATAGAATCACGGAACTATTAGGTTGGAAAAGACCTTTAAGATCAGATGTGGTATCTGTCTCAGGCACAGGAGCTGTATGCAGAGAACAAAGGCGTGTGTCTGGTTCAGTGCGGGGCTTGCAGCCTTACAATCCAGAGCAGGAGGAAAGGCAAAGGACACTGCCTCCTAAATTCCAAATGACTGGAGGCTGGGCTGCCTCCAGACCCTGAAAACAAAGCTATAAATCTGCCCAGCCCTGCTGCGAAACATGGGATGCCCTGAAACCGCTCCCTGGTGTCACAGTGACCTTCATCTCTGCTTTCTCTTCTGTCTCCCGCTTTCATCCTTGCCAGCACATTCACTCTCCTGGTGGCCACGGACCCTCAGCCTGCTCAAGCACCACTCCAACCTGTGTCACTGTGTTTCCCAGTGGGCTCAGCAGGGAGCGCAGCCCCAGCGAGGAGCGGCTTAGGGCAGGATGCTCTGCACCCATCTGTGGTGCTGCACACCCCACTCCCTCATACTGTGCCATGAGAGGCACCGGCACAGCTGAACTCTGCAGGGAATGCAAACTGATGGGTTTTTCCCTAGGGCCTGTGGCCGGTCATGCAGCCAGCTGAGTTCTGTCACATGGTGGGAATGTGCCTGTAGCACTTCCTGACCCGTGGCCATGGTGGGCACGAAGCTCTGCCCCGGGCTGACCGCGGGTCACAGGATGTGGCGCGACGGCTGCTGACCGGTTTGCTGGGCTTGACTCCTTCTCAGGATCTGGGACAAAAAGAGGAATGTTCCTGCTGGCATGGGGGTGGGGGGGAGGGGGAGCCGCATCAACGCCTCTTGCTGCAGCAGCCTGACACTGAGACATCCCCGGGGAGGCACGAGTTGGCCTGGCTCCTTGGCGGGTTGAGAAGCAAAGCCACTTCTGGAGCCACAGGCTGCCCCTCCCGCAGCAGCAGCCAGCCCAAAGGCTTCCCAAACCACATCCAAGCAAGGCCATCACTCGCCTGTCCTCATCTGACCATGTCCCGTACATCATTCGCAGCGAGGGAGCAAAACACAGAGGGCATACAGCCATTGTCTCATTCTCCCCTGTTTTAACTGCAGAAAGCACAGGCAAAGTCAGCATGTAAGCCACAAAAAGAAATGGCCTGTGCCACATTCGTCTCCTTTCTGTCTCTGTGCTCAGGCTGCAGCTAATGCCAGAGCCTCTGGAATGGATCAATTCACCTTCAAAGAATTTGCAATGCAAAGGGAGCAGCTCTCCTCTCGGTTTACTCCTCCCCACAGACGGCGTGCTCCCTCTCCCTGCCCATGGAGGAAGGCAGCTGGGTGCAGCCCAGCTCGGTGCCTTTACTCCCTGCCTTGGCCCCCGGTGCCATCACCCTCATGGCCAGTGAGGAGTGGCCACCAGGAAGGGCTGGTTGACCCCAGCACATCGGCAGTGCTGCTCTGCTTCAGCTCAGCTCTCTGCATTTCCAAAGGTTTCTCTCCCAAGAGTGCTCGGCTAATTAGTAAACGGAGCCTAAACCTTTTGGTCTCCATCGATCTTATCTTTAAACCCTGCAGACAACAATTCCTCAATCGATACCTCATTTAATTGCTGCCACCAGGCTGACAGCTGGGTTCTGGCTGCGCACGCCTGGCTGTCACATGGCAGGCTGCCAGTGCCACCTTCTAATCCCAAACTGATTTATCCCCATGCAGCTCCTCTCCCCCCGCAGACCCCGTTCGCACTCTTACTCCCTGTTCTGGGGCACCCTGGTGGAAAATGCCCTGGCTGTGTGCACATCACACCTGTGTGCTCACTCCCTCTGGAGCACAGCTGTGATCGAACTATCACGTCAACAAAAGCCCAGTGTGAAGGTGCAGCCTGTGTGTGTGCTGCTGACAGCTGATGCAGCCCAGAGCCACGTTCTGGCTGTCACGTGTGTGCTCCAGAGCTGCTTCTGCCCCACGTCCCCCAGCACCAGACTGGGAACCCATGCATCCATGGCACAGCTATACCCTGCAGGTATACCCAGCACGTGAGTTGGAGGACTTCAAGCACGTCAGGCTTCTGGTTGGGGCACCTGCCACAGCTGCTGTCTTTGCTCTGGCTCAGTTTTTACTTGTTTTGCTGCTTTCTGCTGTAGCTTAATGACAATCATTGGCACAACAGGGCAGATATGTGAAATAATTGCTGTAACCCCATCTTTGATCAGTTCCGTATTTGTCATCTGCAGTTCTTGATGGCCCACCTTTGTGGTGCTGATTGCTCCATCCTCGTATATCAGGAGATATTCGTATGTTATTTTAGAAAGAAATTGAGCTTGCACATGCACACACTAATAACAATACCGTCCAGATAAAACCTGGGCAGGGGAATGCCTTGCTTTCTGTGGGACCCATGTGATCCACCACTCCACAGCTCAGCCCAGCCACTGAGACCCGCTGCAGACCCACTTTGGGTCACATCAGCTTTCATGCAGCATCACCTACAGACCCACCAGGTAAAGTATAATGCAGTCTGTGGGCATCAGTCTTGCTTGCACGGTGCTCTGACCATCACTTGCTCCACTGTCCCTCTTGCTCCCTGCTGAGCACAGCTGGGGAGGCTGTGATAGCACAGCTGCTCTGCCAGAAATCTTCAGTCTACATTTTGTTATGTCCACAGAGTCAGTGCCTGCAGCTCATTGCCCACCCGCCCCAGCTCCAGGGCAGGAGAGGCTGTAGCAGAAAGAAGCTTTCAGACTTGCCACAAAAATGGTCACTTTTTTTGCCCACTGAGTAACATTTTGAGTGAGTATCTCACTATGCACTGGCCTTGCAGCGTATGGTTGCTCCACTCTGTGGTGGATGAGCCACTCCTCTCCATGCAAGAAGAGGAGACATATGCAGAGACATAAATCATGTCTCTGACCTTACTGACCTTAGCCAGTATCTTCACTTAGAATCATGGAAACAGAACTGTTTGTGTTGGAACGGACCCCCAAAGGCCATGCAGTCTGAGCCCCTGCAGTGCACAGGGACACCCGCAGCTCCAGCAGTGCTCACAGCCCATCCGGTCTGAGCTCGGCTGCCTGCAGGGACGGGGCACCGCTGCCTCTCTGTGCACCCCGTGCCAGTTGGAAGATGCTCTCAATTCCACTGTTGATGTAACTGATGAAGATATTAAGCAGCACTGGTCCCAGTACTGAGGGACATGACCCATCACTTTGTGCCAGGCAACAGGAACGCCTTGCTGTGCAGGGTGTTGTACACTGATGTGTCTGGTGGAACAGACATCTCTTCCCAAGGTCCCAGAGGAATGTGGAAACCTTCTCAGAGGTGATCACCATGACACCACTCAAAACTCTTCCCAGAGCAGCATGTGGAACTGGTGCAGTAGGAAAGCCAGAGGAATATGTTAACAGCTTAACGATGATGAATTCAACTATGGTGTCAGTGGAGGCATTTTGCCTGCACTGGACTAGCTTAGAAGGCCTTGGCTCCAGCCGATGGCAGGTGGGATACACACATCCCCACTTTAATCTATTCTTCCAGTTTCCTTTTCTCTTGTAATAGCTCTACCAAGTCAGAACATGACCTGGGCAAAAAGCCAGCTTCTGCTGTTGGTGCAGACTGCTGGGGACAGAATACATTGCAAAAGTCAATGCTGAAGTCACAGTTATCTGAATCACTGCTCTCTGAGACATAAACTCTTTCCAGAACCTTTCAGTCTGAACAACATCTGGCCTATAATTCCCGAAGGTCTTACCAGTGAAGTCACTGGCAGCTTCCTACCAAGGTGCTGGGATGGGGCTGTGTGCTATCAGCAAGCAGTAGTTTCCACTGGCCTCTGCTGTATGAAGGACCGCCACCTGCAGCAGTTTGCTCATGCCAGAGCAAGGCAGGACCTGGCATGAGTCAGGTGGAGATTTCTGGGTGCAAAGGGGACCAGGTCCTACTGAGATCCCTATGTGGCAGAGGCCCCTGGGGCAGGATGGGGGCTGGTACCTATGCAGGCAGTGACATGGGAGCAGCAGCCCTGCATCGCCTGCTGCCTTGGAGCGAGAGGGCTCCTGCGTGCTCCTGGAAGATCTGCAGTTGGCCCTGAGCATGCCCCAGATGGTTTAATGCCAGGGTGTTTGCACACAGCTCTGCCATTTAATGGGGAGAGAACACATAGCTGATCCCAGCTGAAGCCATACACTAAAATGCTGACAGACTGTTTGTTGAGACACAAACATTGGCAAATGGCCCTACTTGCCATATACTTAGAGTCAAGACAGAGAGGGAGGGAACCGAAGAACAGAGTTATCTGGCAGTAACTGAGAGTCATCAAAGAGCAGTTTGCTGTATGCTGGGAAGAGGGAAGGAATTTTCTCGGGAGAATTAAGTTCCCTTTTCCAAATGGCTGTGTTGGGATACCCGACTTCTTATGAGATTGGGATGATGGGGACAGTTAGGCACACTCTTCACACAGCACAAGCTGGGCGATGGAGCATCCCACCTGTCCGGGCAGGAGTCGCTCTTTGTGTCCAGGAGCACTTCTCCAAAGGGAGCCATCAGCATCTCAGGTGTGCCAGAGACCTCTCCCAGCAGGAGATGTGGCATATGGAAAAGCCAGCTCCCAGGCACTGGGAGGGGCATGGCTGCAGAAAAGTTCCTGCAGGCACAGTGAGAGCTGGTGCTCATAGCCATCAGACTGGGAAAAGCATAAGCGTCGCTCCCATGGCGATCTAGTTGCCTTCGGTTTACAAGCTTTTGTCTCTCATATGATCCCACAATTCTTGGAGAAACTTTTAAACCTAACAGTTAATCTACCTGGGCCTCAAATTCAACATGACTTCTGTGAACAAGGAGTCCTGCCCTTCCAGGAGCTCTGCTGAATTCTTCTGATGGCAGTAGGTCAGGGAAGAGGGTAACGAGAAAGGAAAACAGGCCTGTGTGGGTGGAACACAAAGGAAGAAGGAGCATGAGGAGGGAAGGATCATCTGGGAAGACCTGCACATGCAGCAGGCAGTAAGGAAGTTTTTATTTGCATGGTCACGGACCAAGGCAGGCTGATGTTAAAGGAGTCATAGAATTACAGAACTGTTTGTGTTGGAAGGGACCCCGAAAGGCCATCCAGTCCAAGCCTCTGCAGTGCACAGGGACACACACAGCTCCAGCAGTGCTCACAGCCCATCCGGTCTGAGCTCGGCTGCCTGCAGGGACGGGGCACCGCCGCTTCTCTGGGTGACTTGTGCCAATCTGTAGTTTAAATTACCACTAATGGTCACATCAGAAAGCAAGGTAGAGGACGGATGCAAGAGGATGGGGACAGTCTGATTTCAGCTCAAGGTTCAGTGAATGGGAAAACCTTCTCTTGTGATTTGATTCTCTGCTTCAAGTACCTTCATCAGATGACAAGGTGCTGGGGAGTGTCCTTTCGACCAAGCTCCTGCAAGAGACGTGTGGGGAGGAAGAGGAAGGTGAGTCCTTGCAGAGAGCAGGGCCGTTTCTCACCCCAGTGCCAACACCCCAGCAGCGCCCGGCTCCCTCCCCCTTCCTGTCCCCCCGCAGCTCACGCATGCCGGCTGCCGGCTGCTGCCCCGCTGAGCACAGCCTCCCCCCGCGCCCTGGGAGGGGGAGCGGGCTGCGAACAGAAACGCCTTGCGTCAGCGCGATCCTTCTGACCCGACCCCCCCACCCGAGACTTCTCTCGAGATTAAACTCATCTCGCTGATGCTGAACTCTTGCTGCCGCTCTCGACCCCTTTCTCCCCGCTTCGGAGCCGCCCACGTGAAGGCTGGGGGTGTCTCGCCGCAGCCCTGCGTGTGACCCCCCCGCCGTCCCTCGCTCCCCAGCAGCTCCATCACTCCTGCGACGTGCGGGCTCTCGGCTCCCAGCGGACCCGTCTCTTAGCAACGCGGTGCCCGGGAGGCAGATGCTGCGCACGCGGCTGCTCCGTGCGTGCGTGGGGCTCTGCGCAGGGCAGAGGGCAGCTGCTGCCTGCGGGGAGGGGGCTGCGTGCCCCCACCTCTTTGTTACCCAGCCCTGGGATGGGGGGGGGGTGCAGGGGGGAGAGTGGGAGGTATGCATGGGGCCAAATCAGTGACCACTTCCCCATGTTTTGAGGCCCAGAGAAGGGCATGGAGCCGTGAGGGGTCCGGAGCACCACTCCTATGGGGAGCAGCAGGGAACGGGGCTGTTCAGTCTGGAGCAGTGGAGGTGCAGGGGGGGCCTCATCACTTTCTGCAATTCCTTGATAGGAGGTAATGATAAGGGGGTTCCAGTTCCAGCCTCTGCTCCCAGGTAACAGAGATGAGAGGTGATGGCCTCCTGTTGTGCCGGGGAGGTTCAGGTTGGATATTAGGAAACATTTCTTCTCTGAAAGAGTGATAATGCGTTGGCATGGGCTGCCAAGGAGGTGGTGGAAGCACCGACCCTGGAGGTGTTCCACATAATGGACATGGTCAGTGGGCATGGTGGGTGGGTTGGGGTTGGCCTCGGTGATCTCAGAGGTCTTTTCCAACCCTAATGATTCAGTATCAAGGCAGCGTGCTCCGATGGCAGCTTGCAGAGCTCAGGTGCCGCTGGAAAGGAGCAGCACCTCGGGGCTGCACTAACACCGTCCCACGGCTCCGAGGAGCACTTGCACTCCCGTGCCTCATGCGAGCTGTGGGGATGAGCACGGGATTACGCCAGCCCCGTCACCGGGTGCAGCCACGCTGTGAGCACTGCTGCTGACGTCGGGGCCGTGAGCCGCGGCCGCCCCGGAGCTGAGAGGCCGCCTCTGCGCCGCGGCCGCCGTCCCCGCCGTCCGTGCCCGCCGCTCTCCGCCTGGCCGTGGCAGCGGGCGCGGGGCGCAGCGCAGCCGCCAGGGGGCGCCAAAGTGCGGCGGCGGGCCGGGAGCGGCGGCGGGCGTCCGTACGGGCAGCGCCGGGGCCGGGACTCGCGGAGCGGCGCCCGATGGCGCGGAGGGGCACGGCGCCCCACGGGAGGCGCGGGCGTGGCGGCGGGGTGAGTGCGCGGCCCCGGGACAACGGAGCTCGGGGCGGGCGGCGCGGAGCGGGGAGCAGCGTGCCCCGAACCGCCCCTCGCAGCTCCGTCCGGCTGCGGCCCGGGACGGGTTGGTGCGCACGAGGCGCGGTCTCAGCGAGCCGCTGCTGACCCCAGAGCCGAGCCCGGAGCTCGGAGCTCTGCCCCGGGGCGTGTTCGCCCGTGATGCTTTCGGGCCTCGCCCGGTGTCCCGGCTGGCGGCGCTGTCAGAGCCGGGGCTGCCGTGCGGAGCTGTTCCCGTGCCCGCCTCCCTGCACTTCGCTGCCGGCTCCTGCAGGTGGTGCTCGCGGGAGCGGCGCTGCGCTCGCTTGGACCGGGCACCGCTTCTGGTCGGAGCTCTGCGCCTGCTTTCGCTTCTTCTATGGCAATGGAAGGCAAGTCGCGGGATATCTGAACATTCGATAAGCTTGGTTGCTTTTCCTAATATTTTTTTTTTGCTAAAATAAAGTGAGGTTGCCCCACACCAGCTGTGGTTGCTCGGGGTCCTGTCCGTGGCCCCGGGTGCCTCCAAGGATGGGGCACCTGCAGCTCTCTGGGCGGCTGTGGCTGGCAGCGTGATGGGCTCAGGCACCCAGTGCTGGAGGTGGGGGCCCGGCAGGTCTCGTACCCTTGGCTGCACCGGAGGGAGGCTGCTGTGCCCCCCCAGCTGGCTGTGGCCCACCCGTGGCTGGTGGTCCCAGGCCACTTTTGGCCTGAGTTGAAAGGAACGCTCCGAATCTGGCAGAGAGAGCCCAGTCTGACAACTTCACAGCTTTCTGCAAAGGAAAGTTCCCTGCAAGCCTGGATTGTTTCCTGCCGCCTTCTTTGAGCAGCAACAATCAGGGAACAGTGTTTTGAACTCTGTCCTGAGACCTGGTGCTCTGGGTTTCCGTTCCAGCATGAGATCCTAAGCCAAAAAAACTGCCTGTTCTGCCAAGGGCAACACAAAGCCCGGCCCTGGAGCAGCCGGTCAGCAGCGTGGCATTAACTCCTCTGCAAAACGCAGCCAAGCCCCTTTGATGTGCCTGCTATCTGTGGCTTTTTCCTTCTTGTTTCTTCTTTAGAGAGCCATCATGCCTGGCGCTGTCACAGCCTGCTGGCTGGTGCTGGGTTGCAGAGCTTTTGAAGATGCTAACACAGGTGCAGCGCTTACGGTCCTTGGCCCTGTCCTCTGAACAGTGCCCTGCTGGTGGGCTGGGAACGTGGCTGGGCAAGGCACTGGGGTTCACGAAGCAGAGGTAGGGGGGCTTGGGCACAGTGTGAGGGCTGTCCCAGGGAGAGGGAAAGCCGCTCTCCTTGGGGAACGCCTGTCCCAGCTGCAGCCCTGAAGATGCTTCATGCCTGCTCCTTCGGTGTGTGTGTGGACAAGCTGTCTCCTGTGTTTGCTCCTGCTGTGGTGACCAGATGTCCTACTCTTTAGCGATGTTGTCCTACTTTCAAGTAGGTTAATCTATTTTTGCCTGGCCCAGAGTGTTGGACCGTCCTTTGCCGTGACTTTGCCTTTCTGTGTGTCCTGCACCTGGTAGAAGATCTGCAGGTCACGATCCTGTCCAGCAGCACGTGAGGGTCTCCTTTGGTCTGTGTCCGGGGGAAGCACGTCTGGCCTTGCACAGCTGTCAGCCTGCTTGCTGCCATGAGAGGTGCCTGCACCCTGGGTGTCCACTCCTGCCTTCTGCATTAAGTGCTGGAGGACCTCAGAGGGATGGGTCGTGCTTCCAACCTTCTCTCAGGGTCTGAGTGTCCGCTGGCCATCGTGTGGCACTGGTTTTTCTTGTTTGCATGCCTAGTCTTCAAGTGCCTGTGCTCCCAGGATCTGGAAGAACCGTGAGAGCTGGGAAGGAAAGAAGGACTTGTAGGGCCACGAGTGAGGCTGGACCCTTGGCCTGTAACTGGAAACTGAAGGCAGGTTGAAGCCTAGACACTGCAGGGAATGGCCTTGCATCTCACAAGCCTTGCTCTGGAAATAGCTTGTCTTTGGTGTGCAAGCCCCTACTAATGATGATCTGTCACTATCTGGCTCTTCCTCACCACTTGTTTTGCTTGAAGTTAAAACCTGTAGATTCTTACTCCTGCTAGCAATGACACAATGTAGTCTGCACTGCCACTTCTGAGCAACCCATGTGTCCTGGAAGGGCTGAACAGGTGCAGTCATGAAAAAAGACCGTGGAGCTGAACTCCCCTGCAAGACAGCAGTACTGCAGCAGGGCTGGGAGAAGGGGTGAGCATCCAGGGTGGAAGCTGAGTGCTGATGAGCTTTGGACCATGTCTGTGGTTTATTTATGGCCTGCCAAGCAATCTCAGGCAGTAGTGAGGGTTAAGGCATCTCCTGTCCCGGGTTGACAGTACAGATCCAATTAGGCATGAAAGCCTCTAATTATTTGTCCCGAATTGCTCCGGTGGTAACCAAGGCTCTGCTATCTCCTTCCTTTGTCTGTGTCCCAGCTGGAAATACCCCAGTGTCCCTGCATCTAGAGCAGCAAGCGTGGTGTGCGAGCAGAGTCAGCACAACCTAATCAGAGGAGACAGGCCGTGAGTTAATGAGGGGATGGACCTGCTTCGTTAACTTTAGGGAACTCTCTAAGCTCCGTCTTGACAAAGGGCTGAGGTTATGTGTGGCTGAGATAAGACCCATGTGATGGTGGCTGTGGTGGGAGCTGGATGGAGAGGCTGTGCCACGGGGAGGGGGGCGATGGCTGGCAGGAGGGATTGGTAAGCGGAATTGTGCAAGGCAGGCGTGCTCCTCTCAAATGAAAGGCTGGACACCTTTTGAAGCAAAAATGTATACAAATAATATCTGTCTCCTGTGTGAGGGGTCAGCTGAGTGTTTCTGCCGTTCTTTCCAGGTCACAGGGTCCCACCAAATGGGTGTTCTGCTGCCTTGAAGTGCTGCCTGAAGGCACGCCGTGCCCTTGTTCGCAGTTTCCACGTGCAGGATTTCTCTTTGTGTAGGCAGTCCTGCAAGCAGAGCCTTCTGTTTGCAGTGTGCCCTGGAGGAGGGGGTGCAGGGACAATCCTGAGGGTGCCCACCCTGGGGATGCATCCCTGGTGGCCGTGCTGATGGAGCACCGTGACCGAGCGTAACGCCTCTCCCTGACTTCCAACCAAGAGACATGCAAACAGGACATGTCTCTGCCAAGGAAAGTGCCTGTCCAGCAAGGCTAGGAAGCAGCTGACACATCCTTCAAACCTCTTGGTGTCCTTCTGCCGTGGGCCAGAGGTGTGTGTGCCAAGTTCAGAGCAGAGAGCTTCCTCCATGCAAATGGGGACGAGGAGGGTGGGCTCTTAAAGCACAAAAACTGTTTCTTTTCCACCCACTTAGAAAGTGGAGCTATTGAATTTTAAACAGCAAAGACAAAACTGCCGAAGAAGCCTCTTCTGTGCTTGCCTGGTGAAGTCACTAATCGCAGTGGTGGGGGATCCAGAAAGATGCCAGAAGTTGGCCTTATTAATGACTCTGTTGTTGTCTGCTCTAGTTTGTTGGTCTTCACCGTGGGAGATGGTTTGTCAAAGCGACAGCTCTTTTCCCTGCAGAAGCTTCCCCGTGAGCTCCCCGTGGCCAGGTCAGGCTGTTCCTCACTGCCTGGCTGCAGTTCCTAGAGGGAACTCTGATGCTGGCCTCAGAGCAGCACTGGCATCGCGGGCTGGGCCCAGGTGCTCTGGGTCCATTGCTCTGGTACGTGAGTTCTGCCCAGCACCGTCAGCATCCGGCAAAACAGCTCTGCAGTTGCTTCTCTCTGCACACCCCTGTTCCCATCCCAAGCTCCGAGGCATCAGGCCCTCTTGCCTGCATTTTTCTCCTTGAACCACTTAGTTTTAAAATAGAGCAATTATCTCCCTTCAGAAAGGAGCTTATTCTTTCCAATCTAGGGC